CCGGGAGCCCGCCGGGGCTGCGCCGCGGGGTGGGGTGGGGATCCCAGCCCCGGGGGCAGCGGCGCCTCGCGCCTTTGGGCTGCAGCCCGGGGAAGCGAGGTGCCCCGACCTCCCCCCCTTCGGTGGGCCTGGGCCCCTTCAGGACTGCTCAAAGGGTCCCCGGAATGGGACGCCCCAAAAGAGGCATGAGGAGCTGGGGAACCTGGGGACTCTCCAAAATGCCCTCCCACACCCTTTTATTACCCTGCCTCTTTTAGGGGTGGGGGTTTCAGGAACAGTGAGAGAATGCTTCACCCCTGCAGGAATCCCTCCAGGAACCCTCTCCCCCAGAGCCCCCACCTTGTTCTGGGTGCTCCCCATTGCGCCCAGCCCCTGCGCCTCCTTCCGGCTGCTTCCCACCTGCCCTCCCCATGGCCAATCTGGCTGCTCCTGCCAGTGGCCTCCCAGAGCCCTGACCCCCTAGCCCTCAGTAGACTCCCACTTTCTCCCGCCAGTCACTGTCCGAGGGTCACTCTCCTCCTATTTCAGGCTGCCCTGAAAGCCCTGAGCTCCCTGGAGTCAGGCACCCAGACCCCAGGGCCTAGCCCCCTCACCTGCTGCCCCTCGGTGCCCACATACAGTAGGGGGCGTAGGGCTGAGGGGTCCAGTACCGGCAGGGGGGCCCCTGGAGGTGGGTTCAGCAGGTGCTTGTAGGTGACTGTAGTGTCCAGCCCAGCCGGGGCCTCCCTGAGCAGTCCCTTCACCTCCTCTCCTGAGGACCTCAGTCCCAGGATGACCTGGAACCAGAGGGTCAGTGCTCGGAGGGGCTGCAGGAACTTGCCCAGCGCCATCCAGGGAGTTAGTGACTGCTGGGAACTGGGGGCCGGTGTGGTGGGAGGAAAGGCCCAGGTGCAGTCCCAGCTCCATGGTCATCCTCAGCCCTCCACCCTTCCCCACCTAAAGATGGGGTGCCCAGGGCCTCAGGACTGTCAGAGTAAACACTCCATCTCTATCCAGGCATGTCATAGCCTTCATTTTTTTGCTGCAACAGACACTAAAACATTTTGGGGTGAACATTATCAGTGGTCAAAGTGCAACCCCTGTGTTGGGCAGACAGAGCCAAGGCCCCGCAGTTTGAGAACTGAGGAATGGGGCCCCTGTAAGGGCAGCTGTCCAGCAGCTGGCACCCCCTCAGGCACCACAGTAGAAAGTTGAATGGATGTGACCAGGCCAGGGTGGGGGGCACGTGGTTTAATGGCTGGGCAGGCGCGACCCACGGGAGTGACCAGCAGGCAGGACTCCAGGTGGACAGAGGGCCTGGGAGTGGGCGGGCCTGTGCTTACTGGGGTCTCCGCAGGTGGCTCCTCCTCCCGGGGCAGGTCCTGCTGGGCTCTTCCCTGGAGGCAGCTGGAGCACCTCCAGGTCCCACTGCTCATTTTGTCACCAGCCAGAGGCATGCAGAGCAAGGCAGAAGGTTTGGTAGTTTCCCAAACCCCAAAACTCAGGGGAGGCCTCCTTCAAATCACCCTTTCTTTTTACAGATGGGGAAACTGAGGCCCAGGCAAGAAGTGGGCAGAGCCACAATGGAAGGGCCTGCCCAGCCAGTCAGCAGGAGAGCTGAGGATGCCCAACATTTACCCTCACCACAGGGACAGGTGGAATGGGAGCAGCGCAGTCCCCAGCCCCACTGCCCAGTGACCTGAGGCTCCCTCAAAAATGGGCCTCGCTCCCCACCCGTGGAACAGAGAGACTTCTGGGTGCCTCCCACTTGGGGCCAGTGGGTGGAGGTGGCTGTGAAGCCAGGCAGGTGGGGGGGGGTGCTGCAGAGGTGACCAACATGCCAGGTCACCTGGGGATCTCCTGGAGCGGTGGGGACAGGCAGGCCAGGTGGAAGGCCCGGGGGCAGCCGTCACAGCAGATGAGCTCCCCGCCGTCCCTGCACACTGCACACTCGTCTTCATTCTTCTGATGCAGACAGAGACCACATCCCCTGGGGGTAGGCGACGGGCCCAGCCTCCCCAAGAGCCCCCAGACCTCTCCACTACAGGTTCCCTAGGGCACCCAGGTCCCATGGCCCATTCCGATGCCAGGTGATGCCTGCCTCCTGGCCCCACCCAAGACCCCTTCCATATCTGAGACTCCAGTCCCTGCACCCGCTGGGTCCATCTCTCCTGGGAAGAAAGGACCTTTAGAAAGCCAGGGTGCTCCTGGGCACCTGTGCTCCAGACAGTCCCTAGACTGCATGCCCACCCCCACGCTGCCCCTTCCTCATAGGGCAAGGAGGGGTAGGCCCGGAGGTGTTCCTGACTAGTTCTGTCTCATTAAGAAACGAAGCTGGGCCCGGGTTGAGCATCGACCTAGGATCCAGGAGATCTCGGTTCGATTCCTGGTCAGGGCACATGCCCGGGTTGCAGGCTCGATCCCCAGTCTGGGGTGGCAGGAAGCAGCAAGTCAATGACTCTCTCATCATTGATGTTTCTGTCTCTCTCCCTCTCCCTTCCTCTCTCTGAAATCAATAAAGATATACTTAGAGGGGAAAAAAAGAAACAGAGCTGGGAGCCCAAGGATGTGCTTGGCACTTGGGTGCCTGGCCCCCAGCAGGGGCCACCACCCCATCCATGGGCCAATTGTGAGACAAAGGGCAGCTGGCACCTGAGCCAAATACCACGGTTTTAAAAACCCAGGAGGACTCACTTTCTTTGACTTATTTTTTATAATTGTGTGTTATCAGAAAAGAGAGACCACTAGAAAAGAAAGAGCTCCACCCTGTGGACAGGAGTTTGGCCTTGTCCTGCAGCCACTGGAGCTAGTGCCCTAGACAAGTGGCAAGACCTGGGGTGATGGGGATGAGGGGCACCCCCCACCCCTGTCTGGGAGTTACCTGGTGGAGCTGGGGCTCGCTGAGGAGGGTAGGAGGGGCCGGGCCCCTGCCTTGTGGGCCTGCCCTGGGATCCCCTCCAGCCTGCAGGGAGAAGACAGGGTCACCAACAGGGGAGAAAGCCCAGGCAGGAAGCCCCCAGCTGCAGGCAGAGCTCCTGGCCCAGAAGCGATGCTCCTGCCCTGCTGTGGGTACCGGAGGGCAGGGGGCACCAAGGGCTCTGCCTAGGGGCGGTCGGGCAGCACTTACAGGGACAGCAACCTGGGTCCCCTTTGCTCGGACCAGGGTCTTCAGGCCTCCACCACCACTGCGGGCTTTGTTCTTCCCCCCGCCGGGGTCTTCAAACTTGCTGGGAGTGTAAACCCCCCCAACCTGAATGCACTTCTGGGTGCCACCTGGGAAGAGATGCTGACTGGCAGTGCTGCCTGCCCCGCTGGCCCTGCTCAGCCACACTGCAGGCCCAGGCCAGTGGCCAGCGGGTGGCAGAGGCCCTGAGCTCTGCAACTGGGGGCTCCTTCTCCCCGACCGCCCCAGCCAGGTCTGGGGCCAGGATACTAGGCACAGGAGGGTTCTCTGCTGGGGGACTGTGCTGTGTGTCCCCCAAATCCATGTCTGCTTGGAATGTAACTACGGGACCATGTTTGGAAGTAGGGTCTTTGCAGATGTCAGTAGTTAAAATGGGCTCACACTGGACCTCACGTCCAATGACTGGTGTGCTTGTGAGAAGAGGAGAGTACACAGGGAGGAGGCCCTGTGGCGATGGAGGCAGAAGCCGGAGTGATTAGACTACAAGCCAGGGAACAAGGGTCGCAGTGCCACCAGGATCTGGGAGAGGCAGGACAGACTCTGCCCTCAAGCCTCCTCAAGAGTGACTTTGCTGACATCGAGATTTTAGAATTTCTGTTGCTTTAAACCACCCAGTTAGTGGTAATTTGTCCTAACAGACCTAAGAAACTACTGCAGGGCCCTTGGATCCCTCCCTGGTGAGAGACCAGGACCTGGCTGTCCTGAGCGGCGCCCTGCGCAGCAGATGGAGGGAGGAGTAGTGGAGGAAGGGGGTGCTGCAGGCTGTCCTTCGAGAGAGCAGCCCCTCCCCAGAGGGTCTGACAACACAGGCCTGCCTGCAGACATGCGAGGCGAGGACATTCTAAGGATGTGGGCCCAGGACCCAGAAGCAGCCCATCCAAGTGGACGGAGGTGATCCAGGGCGTGGTCCTGGACCGCCGGCCTCTCAGAAGTTCCCTGGCCTGCTTGTCCAGGAATCCCTCCCCCGTGGGGAGCCCTCGGTGCTCCCCACCTCTGCAGAGCCAGCAGAACCACTCGGGGGACGCTGGCTGCCTCGTCCACAGTCCTGTCTGCTCTGGGGCCACCAGAGAGTTAGGGGCACATGGATCCCAGGGCCAGCACCGTCTACCTGACTCAAACACCTGCTGAATAAGGATTCCCTCCACAGCCCCGCAGGCTCCTGGGACATCCCCAGACGACACAGCCACGGCTCTCTGGACTGAAGCGGACATAGTCTGAATTCCTGGGGAAGGGAGCACTAGATGGGGGTCATCAGTTGGGAAGATGGCCCCTGAGCACCTCCTCCATGTGGGCAGTGGGGAGCAAGAGGCACCTGGGCGACAGGCCTTAGGGGGGCTCCACACACCTACAGCCCTCATGTCAGAGCAGAGACAGGCCCTGTGCGTGTGTGAGCCAACTGAACATGGCAGGCAGGAATGTTCAGGGACCCTGGAACATGGCCCTGGGCTGTGCTGGGAGGGACGCAGAGTACCCAGGGCCTGCCCCCAGGTCCCACCAGGTGACCACAGAGGGTCTGTGAGGTTCTGTGTTCTGGGGCAGGGAGGGGATAGAAAAAGGCCAGGCTGAATCCAGCCGAAGGACCAAGGAGGACTCTGTGGAGGAAGCAGAGTTGAGGTGGCCCTAAAGGACAGGCACAGGAGGGGTGACCCGAGATCTGGATGTGGGTTGGGGGTGAGATGTCAGGCCAGCGTGGTTTTAGTTCCCAGGAAGGGTCCTCAGAAGGCAGCCCACCCCCACCCCCCTACTGGAACCCCTTGACCCTGGCCCAGGAGCAGGGGCCTTGGGGCCTGCTCACCATTCCCCAGCGGGAGGCGCTGTGGCTCTGCGGTGCTCTCCTGCTTCTTGGGGTGTTTGGCCTTCACCTGGGAGCCTGTAGGGGGAGCTGAGGCAGCCGGCCCTGCTCTCCACTCTGAAGTCAGTCGGGGAGAAGGGTGGAGGGCAGGGCAGGGTGCGAGGGGGAGATCTTCCGACTCCCATGGGTTCCCTTGCTTTACAGGGCTCTGGTGGTCACATCAGTGAAAAGGAAATGCCCCCCAACTGCCTACTTCACGGCACTGGGGCAGCCTCCAGTGTGTCCACTAAGCACCCAAAAGGGACCTCTACTGTCCTTGCTAGGCTGGCTCCAGCTCATTAGGTGGGACAGGTGCTCCCAGAGGCAGCTGGGGAGAAAGTGGGGAGGCGGGGGGTTGGCCTCCCAGGGGAATCTATAGCCAGAATTGCTCTTCTAACTGAGTACCTGGGCTGGAGGTGCCCCTCGGGGATAGGGCTGCTGGTTGAGCAGCCCGAGGCTCCTCCAAGGCCTTCCTCTTGGTGGGGGGTCTGGGCGGTGGCACTGTGGTCTTGGGGCCGGCCGGGGGCTTCCTCCCCTTCCGGGGCTGACTGAGGTCCACATCTGCAGGGCGTGGGCAGAAGCAGAGCCAGGCCTCAAGCCCAGAACTGACCTCCCGGCAAGGTGGGGGAGGCCTCAGGCCTCTGCCTCTTAGAACTCGAGGTTGTGCTGGGTGATGTCCGGAGTCTCCCTAACCCCCCCCCCCTTCCCACTTACAGTCCCACTGGGGCTCAGCGGAAGAACCAGGAGCCTCAGCCCCCAGCGAGCGAGGCTGACAGGCTGGGACTCTGCCCCCACCTTTGGGGAAGCTGTCCCCCACCTTTGGGGAAGCTGTCCCCCACCTTTGGGGAAGCTGTCCAGGATGGGCTGCAGCCGGGCGTATCTCTCCAGGTTGTAGTCTTTGAAGAGCACCCTCCAGAAGTCCAGGATGGCGCCCGCGTCCCGGGTCAGCAGCCAGGAGAGGAGCGCGTGGAAGGCCTGAGAGCACCCCTCCTTCTCCTTCAGGCGCAGGGTCTCCTGGAGCAAGAGCAGTGCGTGGGGGCCCCTGTGCTTCCCCAGCACCCCCTCCTCCCGCCCACTGTGGGGCTAGAGGGCTGATGCCGGCCCAGAGAAGGCTGCTGGAGACCTGGGCACCATGTCCATTCCTCCGCTCCAGGAAGGCTTGAGGATGGCATGGGGGTGCTGGGGTTGGGGGGGGGTGCTTGGAACTCATCTTGGGAGACCATGCCCCTGGCTTGGACATAGGCTTGGGGAGGGCTGAGAGGGGGCTTTGGGGGTCTGCGCTGGGGGCACCCCTGGAATTTGTCCCGGCGACCATTCCCTAGGCTGGTGGCTGGGGCCTGGAGAGGGCTAGGGCTTTGGGGGCAGGGACCAACCTCTAGTCCCGGGCGTCCCTCTGGCCCATGGGCGGGGCGTGGGAAGGCCGGGGGCGTTGGGAGTGGAGCGTTGGAAGCTGAAGCGTCTGGAGGGGCGCGGGCGGACCCCTCTGGACTCCTCGCCCCCGCACTCACCGGCTCCTGGGCGGGGCGCGCGGGGCGGGGTTGGGGCCCACCTGGAACTTGTCCTCGGGGACCACGTCGTGGTCGGCCAGCGCGTGCAGCAGCGG